AGTTGGTGATGCTGAGCACTAAGAACCTGCGGTCCTTAGTGGATGGTTCTCGTAAGCTTTTACCTCGTTGGGTGGGACCATTTCCTGTCGTTTGCATGGTTGGGTCTACTGCAGTTGAGCTGCAACTACCACCTGACATGCGCATCCACCCCACATTCCATGTCTCTCTAGTCCGACCTTTCCGGAACTGACACAGAATCAGCAACTGCGCATTTTGCTGATGCGCTTCAGCCAAAACCTGCTCCTACTGTGATCCATCCGCATTTCTTATGTTTGTTAGCACGTCATATGGCGTGACAAGAGCCAGGACCCATTACTTGGCTTTCAGATAAGTAGACATTTTACGTGCTTGAACGGGTACTCAGTTACCGTTCCTAAAAAGTAGGCAGAAACCGCCACTGTAAGCGCACTGTGCATGAGTATCTCGTCAACTGGGCTGGGTACTCAGCTGAGCACAACAGTTGGGAACCAGAAGCTAACTTTACCCCTGATCTGAAACCTCTGCTGGAAGAAGCACGGCAACAAGCACGGGCGAGGTAAGATTTGCAGGTTAAAGGTAAGTGTTTAACTCCCACACTTTTTGGCCCGATTCTGCTTTGCTAGTTTCTTACCATTCATTGAGGATGCTGCATCCAAAAGGGGGGGTGTAGCAGCTGGTACACAGTACGGCTCTACAAATACGTGCGTAGCGCGACCACCAGCATCTCGAGAGGCCTTTTCAGCAGCCAGCTACTACAGGGGGATAGTTGTTGTATTCCGCTTCTTAAATCGGTCCCAAACTGATACATCTTCTGTCTAGTTTTTCCTTTCTCGCTTAGCACGGTTGCTGGACAAGTTCTGCTGGACAAGTTCGCAGGAACTAACTGAATTCCAACTGCCTATTTTGCCATGCGCTTCAGCCAAAACCTGCTCCTACTGTGATCCATCCGCATTTCTTATGTTTGTTAGCACGTCATATGGCGTGACAAGAGCCAGGACCCATTACTTGGCTTTCAGATAAGTAGACATTTTACGTGCTTGAACGGGTACTCAGTTACCGTTCCTAAAAAGTAGGCAGAAACCGCCACTGTAAGCGCACTGTGCATGAGTATCTCGTCAACTGGGCTGGGTACTCAGCTGAGCACAACAGTTGGGAACCAGAAGCTAACTTTACCCCTGATCTGAAACCTCTGCTGGAAGAAGCACGGCAACAAGCACGGGCGAGGTAAGATTTGCAGGTTAAAGGTAAGTGTTTAACTCCCACACTTTTTGGCCCGATTCTGCTTTGCTAGTTTCTTACCATTCATTGAGGATGCTGCATCCAAAAGGGGGGGTGTAGCAGCTGGTACACAGTACGGCTCTACAAATACGTGCGTAGCGCGACCACCAGCATCTCGAGAGGCCTTTTCAGCAGCCAGCTACTACAGGGGGATAGTTGTTGTATTCCGCTTCTTAAATCGGTCCCAAACTGATACATCTTCTGTCTAGTTTTTCCTTTCTCGCTTAGCACGGTTGCTGGACAAGTTCTGCTGGACAAGTTCGCAGGAACTAACTGAATTCCAACTGCCTATTTTGCCGCCTTTCTGTCAGATCTATGGCTCCAACATCTGGGTCAGACAGCAAGCGGGATGCTGTCATGGATGCCTACAGGTAAACGCCGCCTCAGGCGGAAGTCCATACTTGCAGAAGTATGGGCGGGGGTCGTAGCACAGGCTATGACTGGGACGCTGGTCCCTGGCTCGTGGAGCCCCGTCATCGATTGGAAGCAAGGTCAACGGTACGCCATTCCAGGACTGGACCGCGCCATTTCGGAACAGGCTGTACAATTCATGGGATGGCTGCATCCCCCGCTATTTAAGCAGACAAAACTCTTCAGTGTCTTCCGATGCCACCATCCAGTTGTGGTTTGGTTATTGGTGTGCGAGAGCTGTGACGAAAGTACGATGTGCCGTACATACCTTGACTGGCTGTAGTAATGGCAGCTCCGTAACCACGATACCCACTCGGGAACAGCGGGAGGCGGCATCCGGGGGAAGCAGCTCGTCCAACCACCTAGTACGACAAGATTACAGCATTCAGTATAAAAAGCATAATTTCATATCTTCCACATAAGTGGAGGACATTGAGCTTAGCAAGTCATGATAGGGGGAATATGTACGAATCATCTATACGGCATTGAGAAGCAATCCAGTG